AAAGCCAACCTCCTTTTCAAGGTCACGTACAAGTAGTGATCCTTTCTTTTGGGCCAAGATGAGCTCACGGAGACGAAGGAGGAGAGCGGGCTTCTTTTGGAGGTCCATGGCCTTGTCGAGGCCAGGCTCACGGTGATAAAGCTTCTTCTTTGGCCGGCGTCCATGACCAGCAGAAAATGAGGACATTTCCTTGAGTTGTATCAAGGAAAGAGATCTGGGAATGTAAGATAAATGTTCTGCCAATCTTCTTCTCATCAAATTTTAGGTCTTAAATGCAAGTCCGTGCAGGCACCGCAGATCCCAAGTGATCAAGAGCGCAAAATAAAGAAGCAGAAAGTTGTACTTCAAATTCTGCAAAACAAAAAGGGACAGAATGTTCAAACAATTTTAAACAACATGGCTTTGCAACTAATACCAAGAGTCTGTGTCTCAAGTCTCAACAATTCCCATTTCAGAACAACTCGTCGCAGCAGAAGCAGAGCCAAGAGCAAGTTACAGGGTCAGGGTGTGCCACCTCCATTTTTTTTTACTGACATCACACACATAATACAAAATTGACCGAAAGAGTCATATAAATAGCTTAGTCAAGTCTCACTATTAGAACGCTCTTATATTTCTTTACAAAGGGAGTATGTTTAAAATTTGCAAATGTAACAACACGATTGGTTGGCAAGATGAAATAGCCTTACAAGAATAAAAGGTAACATGAGTACAAAATTTCAACATTACACTACATTCCGCTTTTGCATTGCCCTAAAAGCATCAACTACTCTCCACGTGACATATGTGGTAAGCAATTCAAACTAATTCAAAAAAAAAAAAGCATCAACTACTCCTACATCATCTTCACTTGCTCAATAAGTGTCACCAAGCTATAGTGTATGAGTTGATCACCTATAGTATTTATCCATTTATCCTTCACTAGACTCATTGCAGAAAATACTCCACTAGCTCTGAAGACTGAACTGAAGTAGTACTGAACTTGGCACTGTAGGAGTGTACTTGTAATTTCTACAATCACACTAGTTAGTACCTCCAGCAGTTGAGCTCGATGCGGCGTTTACCGTTCGAGGTCAGGCCATTAGGACGTCACCGACCGGAGCTCGCCGGCGGCAGAGGACAATGACGGCGAGACTGCTCGTGCTCGGAGGTCGCCGAGTTTGGAGTCAAGCGCGGCCGCGGGCCGTGAGAGAGTGAGGACGGCCTTATGGGGAACGAGGACTGGGGGGCAAGGGCCACCGGGGCCGGGGAAGTCGTGGAGGAGGGAGGATGTGGGCCGGCGCCGGGGCGGCCACGCCAATCGTGGAACCGCCGGAGTGGAGGGAGGATGGCTCGATCTCGATGGGAACAGCCGAACAGAGCAGCACGGATAACGGGCTAGATCGAGAGCTCCTATACGACGCCTGCGGGCGACAAATTGACGACCCTTCGCACAGAGCGGGAACCAACTGGACCGGGCCATTTTGGACGCAGCGAAGGGGAAACCACTGAGCTTTCTTTTTTAAGTGGGAAACCACTGAGCTACCTCCCAACAACACTGCAGCACCTGGTTCACTGTAGCGGCCTGCCACTGTATGAGGGTTCACTGTAGTGAACTGGTGTTTTGGTCGCTTTTTATTTCATACTTTTATAAATAAACATTGAACATTTTTGTAATATACGTTGAATTTTTTAATATACGATGAACATTTTTATGGTGCATGCTGAACTTTTTTTAATATATGATGAACATTTTAAATATAGTGAACTTTTTTTTAATATACGCTACCAATTTTTTAATGTGCACTGAACATTTTTGGAATATACGTTGAACATTTTCTTAATATCTGATGGACATCTTTACAATGCACGGTGAACTATTTTGTACTCCCTCCGTCCCAAAATAAGTGCAACTTTGTACTAACGATGAACATTTTTGTAATACACTGTGAACTTTTCTCTATAATACACAAGAAAGAGAAGAAATGAAAAAATAAAATAAAATAGAAAAAAGCAAAAAAGAAAATGAAATGAATAAACAAAAACCCAAAGGAAAAAAGGAAACAAAACAGCAAAAATGGAAAAAATGAATCATGTGTCGCTACAAGGTTGAGGCTTTCTTCGTCTTGAAGAGCCGTGAACACAACAGGTGCGTCAAGGCCGGCGTCCTCAACATCTGTTCCCGGGGGTGGGGGGGGGGCATGTGTCGCATCACTAATCCCAGCAGCTACAACCTTGTCAATGTATGCAACGACGAGAAGAGTCAGAAGGTGGCGCTTCCTAGGGCACCAGCGATTTAATGTGGCCTATCTACGCCTTGGGGTTCAGCCCATCCAACAAGGAGCGCAGGCTCTTCATGATCTCCTCATCAACAGCGACCCAAGAAGAAACCTATGTGGACGTGTACACCTTAGATGACAAGGGTGGGTGGCATGGACTCCCCTACCTCTCCCGACATTGCATAGCAGGGAATGGCTGGCAACCGGTGCAGGGCATTTGTTAAGTTGATGGGGCTATCGAAACATGTTTGGGCCTAGGGGAAAAGGAAGCCAGAGCCGAGACATGTCATGTTGTCCGATGAACACGAGTCACATGAAGTTCGATTAGCAAGTGTTTCCTACCATTTGGTCTAGTCTGCTAGCAGTGATTCTGCAGCTCACTAGTTGGCTTGATCAACTCAGATCTTGAACCATTGTCAACTAGAGGAATCTTGATCTTAGGGAGAGTATTTCATGATTAAATTATTTAATGGGAATTACTTTTTCATGAATATAAGTCTTATTGGTTTTACATATTTCTATTGTAGATCAATGGCAGCATCTGCTCATGTTTTCAGATTTGCATTGTGTCCTATTCTTAAGAAAGATAAACTTAATGGAATAAACTTCACAACTTGGTACATAAATCGAAGAATTGTTCTTGGGCATGATAAAAGGGGCATGTTCCAGGGGATCCACTTCCAGATGAACCGACTGCAAGTGCTAATGGTACTTCCTGGAACGCTTACAAGAAACTCCTTGACGATTCGATTGAAGTCGGTTGTATCATGCTTGCCTATATGGAGCCAGACATGCAACAACAGTGCGAGAATGTAGAGGCTTTCGATATGATCACGATTCTCAAGTGCATGTTTCAATCTCATGCAAGGACTGGGAGATTTAATGTCTAGAGGACCTTACTAGAGTGTAACTAAAGGACAGTGATCCACTAAGTCCACATGTAATCATTTTGCAAAAAAAAACATGTTAGGCTCCCCTTTAGGCCAACAGTGGACACAAATACAATTCTGGCTTCACTTTCAGCTAGTTATGGCTTGTTCATATTAAAGTACCATATGAACGGCATGCATAAGAAGCTCACTGAGTTGCATGGGATACTTAAGATGACAGAGCGGGACATTAAGAAGGGTGCACATCAAGTATTAATGGCGCAGAATAAGGCTAAGTTCAATAAAAGTTATTGGGCTAAGAAGAAGGCTATGGCAAAGGGCAAGGATTAGGATATGATCCCTTCAACCATTGTGCCTAAGTTAGGGTCGGATTCGAAGACCACATACTTTTATAGCAAGGAGGTCGGTCATTGGAAGAGTAATTGCAGGAATTTTCTTGCCGAGAGGGGCACGAAGGTGGAAGTGTGACTTCTACCAACGATACACTTGTTGCATTTACCTTGCCGACTCAGCTAGTAGCCATGGAGGGTGCCAACTCCGAGGTGTGTCCCAACCCCTTGCCCTAGCAGGACGCAATGGTTGCCACAACATTGTCGGATCTGGGAGGGGGGTTGATTGAGATTTCCTCTCACAAGATGGACTTAGAAGTATATCTTCATTTAACAATGGATTAGAAGTATCTAAGTTAGTTTAACATCGAGTTAGATCTATCTATGTATGTTAGTTTATGATATGTTCGTTTCGATTTAGAACTACTATGTTTGGTTTGTATTTCAATTCGAAATCTAAATATTATTTGTGGAATTCTGTTCGAATCACTATGTTTGTGTCTGAATCTTTCTTTTTGTGTGTTTGAATAATTTTATATGATGAAATGTACAAATTATTTGGAGTAGGATAGCACAATACAAAGAGAGATATGAGTTTTAGTTATAGGTAACTGAATTTTAGGCTAGCCGTGGGAGTAGAGAAAACAAAGATTCCTACCATCTTCTCTCTCCTATGCCTAAAACTTCTTTTAGGTCACCAAGTACACATATGTTGCTCCTTCGTTTTATATACAAAGGTCACTTCATTTTATTATGTCTAGTTTTGACCATTCATTTTACCAACAAAAATGTGAGTTTTATGCCACAAAAAGTATGTAATTGGATGCACATTTCATAAAACTTTTCAACGATATATTTTTGAAATTATAAGTCAAAGTTTGACACGAAAAATGAAGTGGTCTTCTATAGAAAAACGGACGGAGTATTGGAGATGCTCTTAGGGGCTCAAAGAATTAAGAGGGAGACGAGGATTTCGTGTACCTGAGCCAAGTCGATGTGCAGCCTTCCTCCCATGGACATGTGAGAGAGTGATTCTCGGGTGTGGACATGGCGGTGGAAGAAAGCAGTGGCGGGCGTTGTCACTTGCTAGGGAGAGGGAAGTGAAACCTATGGAATTAAGAGCTTTTTTCCTCCACGGGCTGATTGTACATGTTGATTTTGTTTCCTTTTTAACCATCTATATGTTGTTGTTTTTTAAACGCAGTCCTTTAGGGCCCGATTCATTAAAAAGGGTCTAAGAGAGTTGCCCTGTTTAATTAACGAAAAACCGGGCAAAAACCGTCACAACAGGCCCGCAAAAACTATTACATGTTGATCAGTTAAGAATCACCAAGATTTGATTAGCAACAAATTTCAGATCAGTCAATAGTATGCTTCCAGCTAACCAGCTAGCACTGCCATGGGGAAATCTATTAGAGCTCGGTATTTTCAGAAAATAAAAACTTTTATTCGAAGTACTCGTTATCCTGATCACGAAAAGGAAAAGACAAACGATAGATTAAATCAACTTCCAAACCGACACGCTAGGTGGCCAGATTGGCAACCAGCTCCTTGAGAAGATGGGGGCAGCTCCCCATCAGATGCTCAAAGCCATCACTAGCCGTGAGTGCTTTGAATTTGCCCAAAGGCGCGACGAACTCGAAGCATGCATCCTTGAGCGCCCCACAACAATGCTGCTCGGCCAGCACCAATATAGTTGCCACCGTGCTGGTGTTGAAGTGTCCGCGCAGCGTGTCCTCACACTTCGACTTCAGCTTCGCCAGATTATACCTGTCTGCCACCACGAGCAAATGCTGAGCCATCGGCATCACCTCTCCCGCGTCTATATGCGGCAATGAGTCGGTGTAGACGAAGTGGAGCATGGCCTTGAAAACTTTAGCTTCTATGCCGTCCAGCCGAATGCTAGCGTCCGTCCTCTCCTTCATAGGACCGAGGAGCTCCGCGTTGAAGACTGAAGAGCGAGCCGCGAGCACGCTCCTGTGCGCCGGAAACGTCTCGCCCCCGACCTCGAACGTGACATCGGCCCCGTCACCGGTGGAGAGGAGCTGGCCAAATTGACGCTGCATGTCAGGCGATGACAAAGGCACTGACACGGACTCCGGGATGGGTTCCGTGAAGATTACCTTTGCCATGGTAATGGCACACCTGAAAGTGAAGGTATCATCCTTTAGGTAAGCAGATTGCTCCAGTTCATTCTTCCTGATGAACTGGTAGAAGCCACAAAGTCCACTTTGCCTGGAGAAGGTCCATGAGTTGCCGGCTTTGGTGTAGGCTGGCACGGGGTTCCCATCCTGGTCCAGCAAACTGATCTGGGCCTGCACGCTTATTGCGTTGAGGTCGGCAGGGTCGAGGCAGAGGTAGATGGCTATCCATTCGTGGTAGCCGGAGTAGCCGTCGGGGTAGTACTGGAGACGCCAGCGACGGCCTCCGATGACGAACTGCTCAGACGTGATGTAGTTGCCGTGGCCGATCCCCTTGATGGCGGAGTGGCCATCTATCTTGAGGTCGTGAGAGCCGGAGACGGGGGCTCGCCCGACAATGGCCAACGCGGAGTGCGACGGCTGCTTGCCGCCACTGGATGAGGACGAAGAAGAGTTGGCCATGACAAACCCTAGCTGCGACGAGGGAATTGGTATGGAGAAATGAAACCCTAGCTGCGACGCGGTATGGCAGATCGGATCATCAGAGGTTTATAAGTAGGGAAAGAAAAAAGAGGAAAAGCAGGCCGGATGGGAATGATTTATAGGGCACGCCCTGAGGGCCGCTGATCAACCAAAAAAGCACGCTAACCTGAGACCCAGGCACCCAGCCCAATGCACGCATGTCAGTAGGAAGTCCCAAGTCAGCCGGCCCAGTAATAGGTTCCTAATTTCTCCACTCAGTTTGGGTTCTCTCGTTTTTCTCTTTTCCTTTTTATTTTATAAATTTTATTTTCTTACTTTTTCATATTTTCATAAAAAAATATCCAACAAACAATTAATTAATTTTAAAAAATGAGATACAGAAACAACAAAATAAGTATTGATGAGATACATCTTGTTATTGTGCCCATGAGCCTTTTCCTTTTAAACTTTTTTCTTTCAAAATCCATGAGCCTTTTCAAAATTTGAAAATTTTCATATTCATAATAGTTTTGAAATTTATGAACTTTTCCAAATCCAGGATATTTTTTCAAATTTCCTGTTTTGTTTATTCTTATGAATTTGTTAGGTCCATTTTTGTTTCAAAAAGTCAATACTTGATCAAGTGAACAAAGGAGACCTACGACCGCGCAACCAGATTCCGTTACCTTGTTGGGCCAGGCCCAAGCAAGCAAGCGCGTTAACGCTAGGTGGACAGCCGACACTAATGGCGCCACATAGGAGCTCTCCTACGGAAAGTCCCTAACGGGTCACGAGCATAAATGAGCACACCATGAATAGTAAATTCTTAACAAGTTGAAATAAATTCAAACAATTCTGAATTATTTTGTTGGTAAACTTTGGCAAATGTTTTGTGTGCTTGAAAATTATCTTTTTGGAATGCCATTCGTGGAAGTTGCGGCAAAAGAAAATTCTGTACTCCAAAATGCTTCTAAAAATGGCATTTTTTGGAGCATCGATTTGTTTGCCAGAACTTCCATGAATATGATTTCACGATGAAATTTTACAAGAACTCAGAACATTTGTCTATGTTTGACACCCAAAAAAAAGAATCAGTTTTTTTGAATTTATTTTCATTTTTGTGACTTTACTCTTCAACCGAACTGATTTGAGCTTGAGCTAAGAATAGTCGTGTCCCTCTCCCACTGTGGTCTTCCCTTGAAAATGGGATAGCAATGAAAGTACAAACACATTGCAAACAAAAAATGAACATTACCTGCAAATACAAAGAGTTGAACACGAATGGAGAAGCGGTTTATTTATTATTTCGAACAGTTACAGTTACAGTAGAGGGTGAAAAAAGGGAACTAGCCCCCAGATTTTAACCCATTACACTTATTTCTAGCAACCGTCGTACTAGAACTTTTAATATTTTTTTGTGGAGTACCAGAACTTTTAACTAAAATCAGACCATGATTTCAATGGCCACATAAAATATTTACATCCGTTGATTGTATAAGGGAGGCCATGAGGTTTGTAGAAATGAGGACCTGTAAGGGGTACTGATTCATCACAAAAACACAAAGTTTTACAAAAAGAATAATACACATAATCTAATAATATATAACCCTCTGATGATAATTAGATTGGTTGTCTCTAATAGATGGAAAAAGTAAATCAGTGGTATACCCTCCGTTCCAATATATAAGGCGGGCACACTTTTTTCCAAGATTTAACTTTTATCACAATTTAAACCAAAAATATACATGATTTAGGGAATATAAATCATGTGACTTCAAAATTAATCACTCCAGTCCATATTGTTGCACGTATGGTTCTATAAGTCAAACATTTTAAAGTTTGATGAAGTTTATTAAATAAGATATCAATAGCGACAATACCAAATAAATAGAAGAGTCCAGATGATATGAAAACTAGATGAAAACTCCGCGCGTTGCAGCGGGAATTTGTATAACATAAAAGCTGCACAATAAAAAATGTGTGAATTAATCAACCCAGTCAGTGTCTTTAAAATTTCCCCTGTTGCAATATGTTTTTTTATCAATATTTAAAGAATAAACAAATGTGTTTCTCTATGTATAAGCTGAGAATGGAGCAAAACAAAGCAAAATATAAATGCACACCTCAGTTTTCTTTCATGGAGCACCATATTGTGAGTACATGCAAGCGTCATTAATTTCCTTTCTCAACTAATATAGACTTTATGCATCAGTTATTGCATGCATGCGTCACTTATTGCATGTGTTTGGTGTTGCAGTGATATGTAGATCTGATGGCTATTGTAGACTAATCTATTATATCTGACTGCTAAATTAATTTGGGTGATGTGGTTCAAGGAGAAGGCAGAGAATTCCTAGTAGTGGGGGCTAGCTATTTAGATATAATAGATATGTCACACGATGTACCTAGTGACATTGATTTGATATTATACATAGATATTTTTCCCTACAAACTTGGCCAAATTTGATGAAGTTTGAATCCATAAAAAATATATGTATGCATTACATTATGAAATGAAAGGAGTATATCATTTAAAATTTTCTTTTGAATACAGAATAAATGGTATAATTTGTGGAACTCACTAACTAATCAATTCTCCGCGGAGGTGACCTACCTCTTTTCATGTACTTCTACAGAATCGCCCCAGTGGTTTAGGGAGTGGCCGAACTTTTATCACTCTGATTAATACTCCCTCCGTGTCAAAATATAAGTGTCAGAAAACATCTTATATTTTAATATAGAGAGAGTAGTAGTTAAAAAAAAGACCAACTTTATACTCATTTGATAATTCAACGTGCATAGGCATGCACCGGATGGAATTCACGCTCTATGTAAAATCTGGAGTGTAATGACCGTGGTTGATGAATGAAGTTAAAGGTGAATATATTCCTCATGTGTAGAGTACAAACAGAGCATATAGTGGTGACCTAGTTGGGCCATGCCAGTACTAAAATCTTCTAATTTCTTTTGATTGAATCCAAGTTGTCTCTTTTCTTTCGATTCAGCAAAGCTAGTTCGAATAAATAGGATTGTCTATATCTTATCTCCTTTGCCAATTAAGCTTCAAAATTGCAGTCTGATTCAGAAACAATCGAACGATTGTGTAGTTAACTCCAGGAGATTCTCGTTAGAACTTAGGAACGCTGCATGCCATCATATCATATAAGAATAAGATCGACAATTGATATGGACAGATCTTACTACAATCATACTACTACTACTCGCACACTGATATGGACAGATCATACAAGATCGAAGGTACGTAAGACAAGGTCCTCTAGATTACGACAAACTGTTTGCTTCGTCTCATGTGAGACGAACCCCGAGCTATTCTTCAATGGCGCACCGCGCGCACATATTTGGCGGCGAAGTAACTCGTTATCCTAAGGACGTTCCCGTCAAGCCCGTCGACAGCATCACCATTTTCCATCTCCCCTGCTGGACCTCGCCGAGTTTCCACCGTCGACGGCCTGCCGCCGCCGCATTCCGCTGCAAGAAGGAGATCAACGACGGTTTAGACGTGCACGAGTGCAGCAGAGCAGATCGACCGACGGATCGGTTGACAACGTACCGTCGCAGGCCGCGTGGCCATGGTGGGGGGCGGCGGCGCTCGAGGTGCCCTGCGCCTCGCGTTCGCAGCGCGAGACGACGCTCGTGGCACTGGTGCCGATCTCCTCCTCCGGACGAACGAGGAGCCAGCCGTCCAAGCTGGGCGAGGGAGCCAACGGCGGCCTGCAGCGCTGGCGGCTCGACTCCTTGCAGTACGCGATCGCGCTCGCGACGGCCTCCTCCCTCGCCCGGGCGGTGCCGTCCTCGCCGGCGGCGACCCTCCCGTCCGGCTTCGTCGTCCGGCCCTTCCGTCTCCCGCGCCCGTCTGGCCGCTCGTCCGCAGCACCGGCGCGCTGCAGATTTCTGGCGAACCTGCGCAGGCACCGCCTCCGCGCGTGGCCCTTCCGTGCGGCCGTGTCACCGCCCTCCCTCACCGGTGAGCGCGCGCTGTTGGATGAGCTGCTTCGGGTGCCGAGCAAGGACGAGGACGTGGACGACCTCAACGACGGGGAGGAGCCCGGGTCGGAGGCCACCTTAGCGTCGCCAGGGCCGAACGCCGGCGACGAGGAGCTGCCCTGCTCAACGCTCGAAGCACCGTCCGTGGTCGCTACCGTCGCCACGGCCGGCGCCATCGCCGCGCACACGGCGCACGGGAACATCCACGCCATGACGACCTGGAAGAAATGCATGGTGATCAGGATTCAGGAGCACTGGGGTTTGCTTGCAGGCCCTTGTGCACGTAGTACGTCCTTGTATATATATACACGTCGCGATTGCGATCGCGTTCGCCTCCGACTCCGGCGGTGGTTGCAGGGGGGGGGGGCACGGCGGCGTCTGCGGGCGCGTGATTTCCGAAATCCGAGATGCCAGCGAGATTGCCAAAATCCTGTGGCTAATCTATGGAATACTCCGGCGGTTCCTTCCATATACGGAGAGAGTACTAATTACTACACGGTTTAATTACTCGATCGCTAATTTATCGGATAAGCTAGTAATGCGGACGGATATTATTTTCTAATGTACTCCTCGTTATATTCCCGCCTATAGTAAATCAGATTTGCTATTTCACATCTACACCCTTTGATTTCTAAATATTTGTCTTTCTGCAGATTTTTTTTTAATTTTTCATTCATATCACGAATCAGTACAAAGCAGTTGACCCTTACAAGCACACTGAAATGCAAACACAAAGGACCATGAACACCTAGAATACCCTAATACAACCATAAAACAAAAAGATCTTCGGAGCCATGTGTCATCATCCCTGAATCTTGAGAGAAGACCCCTGCAATAGAAGGATCAGCAACGAGTCGCAAACAGGTCATCATCTTCGACCACGATACAATTGCCGCCATGCTGCTTCCTCCTTTCTTGACACCAGCGCTGAGAGGGCATGGATATCAATCCAACACACCTGCAACAGTCATCGTCATCTTTGGCTTTGAGTACCG